ACCACAACAGATGCCCCGACAGTAATTCCATACAACCCTGGTCAATTAAAATCCGGAGGGGCATCCTTTTAAAAAAATCCATCCCCAATAAACAAGGCACCGCCAATGAAATTGAAGCCATCACCGGGCCCGTCCTTTTAATATCGCCAATCCATATCGATGCCTCAATTTGGCCCACAATGCTTAAACTCCCGCCATTAGCGGCAAACACGGACTATCTACAGGACTAAGGCAACCCACTGTCGACGGCAGAGTCCTAAAAACAAACTCGGAAACCATGGTGGCGGATGCCCCCGTATCTATGAAACTCCGCACCTCAACACCCTGCATAAATCCATATACCGTGGATGATTCCGCTCCCGCCGCCATGACACGGTGTGCCAATGTGGTCCATTGCCTGGACCCCCGTGGCCAACCATCACGTACCGAAGCACCATCTTCATACCCCATATCACTATGAGGGGCGATGGCGTGTGCACCTGACACTGACTGCAATGGGGATGCATAAGGTGGCTGTGTCAGCTGGGTGTATCACGACCTGCCTTCGGACCCAGAGGAGCGGAGACCGGCAGGGCGGAGGATGGCGAAGCTAGGAAAAATTTACCCAAATCAGCACGCCAGTCCCTGAAGATGTGGCCCGGTAGGCCACACCTGAAGCAGGTAATGGGACCCCGCCATGGCGGAGGCAAGGTCCCCCCCCCCCGCCTTGCTGGTCCCATTGTCGTCCTGCTCCGACTCTCCCCCGCGGGCTCCAACCACTCGACGCGCAGACCCAAGGAGACTCTCGATGCTCCTGGATGCCCTCTTCTCCCGGAAATCCAGCCGCGGCCGCCACCCTGGCACGTCGTCGCAGGTTACAGTGGGCCTGGATGCATTGGGCTACCTGAATCGAGGATAGGTCATCCTTCTCTGTGGCCGGCAAAAAAAGTTCAATTCCTGAGCCAGTGACAGTAGTGTGCTGCGGAAGGCGAGGGGTGTCTCTGTCTCCCCCTGACTCCGCATCACGAATTTCCGCCACACGTAGGATGGCGGGTTAAAAGTTGCCGCCAACTGGGCGTACACTTGCTGCAGCGTCATTCTGTCCGCCTCGGGAATTGAAAAAAACGCCGCCAAGGCTGCATCGTTCAGCGTGGTGGGAAGAATATGTAGCGCCTCCCCATCGGACCACCCCGCGAGCTCGCAAGTGGCGGCGAACCATCGCCGGAAGGCCGCCCAATCACCCCCCGCAGCCGAAAATTATTTGAGAAACGGCAGCCGCTGCACGAGGGAAGGCGCCAGGTTATCTTCGGCGGGACTCAATACCTGCCCTTGGTCGGCAGTGACGGCGGAGTCGCTTGTTCGCTGCTACCGCTTCGCAGCCCCCTCCACTGCCTCTTCTTTACCCAGCTGCCCCACCAGTGCTGTCACCATGGAGATCAGCTCTACTATGCGCGTGCTGAGTGCCCGCAGCCCTTCTCCAGCCGGCAGCGACGCAGGATCGTCGTCCTTCACCCGCTGCCCCGCCGGGACCGCCACTCTGGGACCTCCCGCTGGGGTCTCGACTGCCGGGGCTGCCCGAGAACCCTTATCACCATCGCCCTCTTCGTCCGAGGACGTGCTGACGAGAGCATTCCTCTTCATGAACTTCGACATAGCCTATATCCCCCTCAAGGATTGGAAAGGAAAGGAAGGAAAAAATCCCAACAACCCTACAATATATGTCATATATATAAAAAAATGGTTAACACCCCACTTCTGACACCAAGTGTAGTGTACTAATTCACAGACACTAATAGGAGGTACTCTCTTTTATTCCAGCCTTCACAGCCTTAGGGGATAACTGCATACCGGGTCGGGACAGCCAAAATGCTGCCAGACCCACAGCTTGAAGAGGGGGAAGATCACGACGACGACGGCATGACGAGTTCCATTCTAGATCACAGCAGCCCCAACTGTGAGTCGGAGCTCGCCTTTTTTCCGGCCCAGCATGGCCAGGCTCCGCCCTCGGTCCCCGCACCCCTATGGATCCCCCAGAGGGCTCCGTGGCTTGCCCACAGGTCCAACTGGTAGAAATGGCTGTAACCCCTAATTCCATTGTCTACCAATCTTCCAGCGGCATGCGCTACAGTGACTCATTCAATGTCACTACACATGCATACAGTATAAATACATGTGGATGCACACCCTATACGCCCATGTTTGTATGCGTACACACATATACAAGCATGTGCATGAAGGACTGAAACATTGCCAACATTTAGTACGTACACATCGGATGGTTAAGGAGGAGGGAGGTTAAATCTAACAATATTCTGTTAACGGAATATTGAAGCCCCTGTCACATTAATATTTTATTTCTAACTGTCCTGAAGGGGGGGGGGGGGGGGGGGGGGGTTGGAGACAGTAAATCCTTTCAAAGCAAACTTGAGTCAATCAAGATTCCAGGCAAGCTGGCAAAAGACTACCAAAAATAAATATACCATAATTGAAAAACTACCATTGTATAATAAAAAACGATAAACTGGTAGACGTTTTCATACTTAATTTACCGATTCCGAAAGTTGGGAACCGAAAAAACGATTCCAGTGTAATTTCATTATGAATGCTCTGATTTGCACGTGTGAAAGTACAAAACCTCACGGCAGTAGGCCTAAGGGAAAACGGGGTAAATTAGACGTAAATATACAGCCCTACATTTTGCTTGCTCATGCTGCTGCTGACAGAAGGAACCACTATTAGAGGGAACTTTGGGGGGCTTTTAGTCTACTCTTCCACAGTAACCAGATAACTTGGAAAAGGTGAGCATATCCACACTTTAATGCACCAAACACGGACTGCAAATCAACTGCCGTGTACCGAGTTATGTCGCTGGGTGGACAGAAGCAGAGGGAATTAAGAAATTTGGCCATTTTTTATTGCTGCACAAGGAGATTTAATTGAATCTGTAACTTTTGGATTGATATGAAGACACTGTATTATATTGAGCAATTCCTAGACATCATATCCCAGAACTGCCAACTTGTATTGTTATAACAGGTCTACGTCAAAAGGTTGTCAGGGCCAATGTTGCTGCTGCCACCACCTACTCCCTCCCACCAGATCCCAAGACTATTGGCAGAGTTAACATTCAACCACCAAGGTCAATCTTTAACATTTCCTTTAGTTTTCGGTCTTCCCTTGGGTCGCTAATATCTTGACCATCACTACAGTTTTGATCCAAATGACCTGCCCTTCTCCATAAATCCTGAGCATTGCACCACCCATCACTCCATGAGAATGAGCCATCCTTGGTTAACTGAGTGGTTGTAACCCCCATTTGCCTTAAGCCCCCAAACCCGATGGAATCACGGAAAGAGGAACGAGATATCACAGAGCACATATGTGCATTCTGACACAAGTTATATACGGATACACGCTCGACACGTAAGCTGCAAAGAGAACAGGGTCAAGATGGGCTCCTGATGGAAATCTCTATTCCAAGGATATCGCATCCATTCACGATCACACCCTTGCTTTGAGGATTCATCAACTGCTGACGCCACGGCAGTCTCTTGCTTCCACAATGGGGTCACGTGAGCTAAAATGGTCCTTGGCACGATCATCAGCGCGCTACAAAACGCCAATGCCAACTCTGAAGCTCCCCATTGCTGAGCTTGAAATTGATGCACTGCATTTAATGGTGGATCATAGGTCTCAACCATTTCCTTGTAGGCGGCCCAAGGGCGGTTTTCCTTTACCATTTGGAATAGTGGAATAAACAGCCAGGGCTTCGTCATCCAGAGCCCTTGGAAATTGCTCTCCAAGCCTCCTCCTCCTTGGACCATTCCAGGGCATGGAATGCCGTTTCTAAATGGCACACGAACGCTACCCAGTCTCCTCCAGCGCCCATAAGCTTCTCCACGAGTGCCAGTCGTTAGGGCTGTCTTTGAGGCCCCCACGGTGGCGGCTGCAGTCGCTGTGGAACGCAACCTACAGTTTGCGGCCGTGGCTCCCTGCTGGGCTGGTAGCTGCAACTGCCACGGCATGGGAAGCTGCCGGCAGTCGTGGCCACTGTGGAATGCCCGCTGGAGGTGGTGTGGAGAGCAACCAAGGGGTCCTGCCCTGGCAGGGGGTTGGTGAACACAACCCTCGGCTCTTTTAAGAGAAACAAAAGCAGCAAAATGCTTGCCTGATGGTGAGGACGGCAGCTGTCCACGGTGGTTAGGGGAGCGGCGCCGGGGCTCCGCTGGTCGGGGGCATGAACAGAAACTGTGTCAGTGACAGTCGGGAGTCGATCAACGGCGTGGCAGCAGCGCCCCAGGGCACTCGTCCAGCAGGGAGGACGGTAGCAGTAGCAGCAGCGACGATGGCGACAGCTGTGGAAACGCCATCCCTCTCTCCGTGGCACTGGGCGGCGTGCTTGGAGTTGCCCAGCTGGTCCAGGAGGGACAGTAACAGCAGTGGCGATGGCTGCGGGAAGCCGCTCGTGGCGCTCGACGGAGTAGCAATGACGTCCCGCGCGGTCGGCGATGGCGACGGACTTGGCGATGGCTGTGGAGAGCCGCTCTTCCTCCTTCCATCGGCTTCAGCGGCAGTATGAGCGACCATCTCTGACAGCCGGTCTATCTTTTCCTCAAGAGGCGACCAGGAGAAGAGGGGGTCTCTGGAGTTGGGCCATCCGTATCGGTGGACTTTTCTCCCTCACTCCCCTCCTATTTCACTTCCTTGGACTCTTCGCGTGGGTATCTTCTACTCAAGCGAGGCATCTTGTAGGCTATCGCTGCCACCGGAAGAAAGGCAGTCCACACGAGTTGCCTCTTCGTTAAGGCACTTTTATTCTCCCCAAACTGAAAGACCTCGCGATTTTGCCATGCCTCCATTTGTATCCTCTTTCAACCCCTCGGTCAATCCCACGTCCCGCTCCTACCAGCCGTCCCACTCTCACACTTTTGGTTTGTCTATTATAAGCGTTCATCAGTGACCCTCGCTGCACCTGTGTGTGAATGACTGTAAATATTGTGCGCGTATGCACGTGTTTCCAGATCCCAGTTGGTTCGGATGCGGACGGAATGAATATTCTGGGACTGGTGGTGTTTGCCATTGCCTTCGGGATTGCTCTGCGGCAACTTGGGGCAGAAGGAGAGGTCCTCATTCGCGTGTTCAACGTGTTTAACGAAGGGACCATGGTGCTCGTGTCCTGGATCATGTGGTGAGCTGACAACCTGTGCGGGTAATTGTCTTGTGAACACAAAAGCGAAGTGTACATCATAGCTGTCAACCCCTTATCAGTACCTACCTTATGAGACCAATTCAGACTTTATTGGTCACCCCGTGCCCTTATAAATCTCAACGTTCATCCTACAAAGTCCCAACACAAAAAAATACTAAAAATGTGCCATATTGATAATAGGTTTTTCCCCTTTTTTTCTGGCAACAGAACAGGTGTTAAGATGTTAAACCCCCAAACTCAAACCTTTTACAAGGAACCATGTCTGCATTAACCACAATACTTGTGGTCAGAATGCAAACAAAAAAAATACTCTGATAATATATGCATTGTCTTTGATACTGATTGGTCCTCACCAGAGACAGCTTTCTTTTGAGCCTCATCTTAAACGGTATTCGACCAGAAGACGCCATAAGGGGTACAGCACAAAGGCAAGCACTATCAGAGTAATGAGATCTCAGGGTGAGCATCTACATCATCGGACCTCCTTTGCAAGTACCAAAATATGATAGGTTTTTCCCCTTTTTTCTGGAAACAAAGCAGGTGTTAAGATGTTAAAACACCAAACTGAAACCTTTTACAAGGAATCATGTTTTTTGTTTGCATTCTGACCACAAGCATCAGTCTCAAATGGTGTTAGACCAGAGGACGCCAAAAGGCATCTTTTGGCATCCTCTGGTCCAGGGGTCGGGAACCTATGGCTCGCGAGCCAGATGTGGCTCTTTTGATGATTGCATATGGCTCGCAGATAAAACAAAATATTCTCACTTGTTTTAATCCATCCATCGATTTTTCACTGCGCATGTCCTGTTCAGGGCTGCAGGAGCAATTGTCCATTATTTTAATTGGATGATACTGGCCTACGTTTGCCGTTGCTGGGTAAAACAGGTAAACGCCCCCTTTTGAATCAGTCTGAGACTGCGTCTGCTCGGTCATTAGCTCAAAGCTAACCCTTCGACGAAGATGGCGAAAAGAAAAAAAGACGACGAGTATCGTACATTTCAGGACGAATGGACCGAAGAATTCGCCTTTGTGGAGAGAGCGGGTTCTGCGGTGTGTCTAATTTGCAATGACAAAATTACATCGTTGAAACGGTCGAATGTAAAGCGGCACTTCGACACGCGCCACGCTACCTTTGCATCAAAATACCCTGCGGGAGACAGCAGAAAGAAAGCGTACCAAGAGCTTCTGAGCAGGGTGCAAGCTAGCCAGCAGCAACTCCGCGTATGGACCCGGCAAGGTGACTATAATTCGGCTAGCTTTGCTGGTTCTTTAGCAATAGTGAGGAACGGAAAACCATTCACAGATGGCGAGTATGCTAAAAAGTTCATGCTGGATGTAGCCAATGAACTTTTTGATGATCTTCCGAACAAAGACAAGATAATCAAACGGATACAAGACATGCCTCTGTCGGCAAGAACTGTTCATGATCGTACCATCGTGATGGCAAACAAAGTGGAGGAAACGCAAGTGAAGGACATAAATGCAGCGCCGTTCTTTTCTCTGGCTTTGGATGAGTCAACAGACGTGAGCCATTTGTCGCAGTTCAGCGTGATTGCAAGATATGCTGTTGGTGACACACTGCGCGAAGAAAGTCTTGCTGTTCTGCCATTAAAAGGGTCCACAAGAGGTGAGGATTTATTCAAGTCTTTCATGGAGTTTGCTCAAGAAAAAAGTCTACCTATGGATAAACTTCTCTCAGTGTGTACTGATGGTGCTCCGTGTATGGTGGGGAAAAACAAAGGATTTGTGGCGCTTCTCCGTGAACATGAAAATAGACCCATCCTAAGTTTCCATTGCATTATACACCAGGAGGCACTTTGTGCTCAGATGTGTGACAGGCAGTTTGGCGAAGTGATGTCGCTGGTCATTCGTGTGATCAACTTTATTGTTGCCCGAGCCTTAAATGATCGCCAGTTTAAAACACTGCTGGATGAAGTTGTAAATAACTATCCTGGTCTGCTTTTGCACAGCAATGTGCGTTGGTTGTCAAGAGGCAAGGTGCTTAGCCGTTTTGCGGCTTGCCTGAACGAAATCCGGACTTTCCTTGAAATGAAAGGCGTCGGGCATCCTGAGCTAGCCGACACCGAGTGGCTCCTCAAGTTTTACTATCTCGTAGATCTGACTGAACATCTGAACCAGCTCAACGTGAAAATGCAAGGCATTGGAAATACAGTGTTATCCCTTCAACAAGCTGTATTTGCTTTTGAAAACAAGCTGGAGCTTTTCATCACGGATCTTGAAACAGGTCGTTTACTACATTTTGGAAAACTGAGCCAATTTAAAGATGCATGCACAGCAAGTGAGCCCATTCAAAACCTTGATCTCCACCAGCTAGCTGGCTGCACATCCAGTCTCCTACAGTCCTTCAAAGCACGCTTTGGAGAATTTCGTGAGCACACTCGTCTTTTTAAGTTCATCACCCATCCAAACGAGTGTTCACTGAACACAGCCGACCTGAATTACATCCCTGGTGTCTCCGTCAGAGATTTTGAAGCAGAAGTGGCTGACCTGAAGGCCTCAGACATGTGGGTGAATAAGTTCAAGTCACTGAATGAAGATTTGGAAAGAATCACACGACAGAAAGCGGAGTTGGCGAGCAAGCACATGTGGACAGAAATGAAAAAACTCCAACCCGAAGACCAGCTGATTCTCAAAACTTGGAACGCGCTTCCTGTCACATACCACACACTGCAGCGTGTGAGTATTGCTGTATTGACCATGTTTGGATCTACGTATGCATGTGAGCAGTCATTCTCACATCTTAAAAACATCAAGTCCAACCTACGATCACGTTTAACGGATGAAAGCCTCAACGCTTGCATGAAGCTTAACCTCACCAAGTACCAACCCGACTACAAAGACATCAGCAAATCCATGCAGCACCAGAAGTCGCATTAATGGTGAGTGTTATAACAACATTATTTAAAAGAATAAATTCAGAGGCTTATTATACTGACATTTAGTTGAATTCACTTTTAAAATATATTATATGGCTCTCACTGAAATAAATTTCCAATTTTTTTGCTTTCATGGCTCTCTTAGTCAAAAAGGTTCCCGACCCCTGCTCTGGTCTATTACCATTTGAGACTAGGCTCCAAAGAAAGCTGTCTCTGGTGTGGACCAATCAGTTTCAAAGACAATATATATTATCAGAGTGTGTTTTTTGTTTGCATTCTGACCACAAGTATTGTGGTTGATGCAGACATGATTCCTTGTAAAAGGTTTCAGTTTGGTGTTTTAACATCTTAACACCTGTTTTGTTGCCAGAAAAAAAGGGAAAAACCTATTCTCATATTTTGGTACTGGCAAATGAGGTCCCATGATAGATCACTGTGTCTCTGCATCCTTCTCCGTACTGTATATATCAATCTATCTCTATCACTTTTTCTCTGTTCCTCTGTCCCCTTTTCTACCTAGGTCCCTCTGTATTCCTCTCGTCCCTCCACTTGCATCTCACCACTTCTTTCCCCCCTATTTATCTCACTTGCCCTCCTCATTCCCACCTTTCCCATTACAATCTCTTGCCTCGCTCTGAGGCTCACTCCCACTGCTTGTCGCTTTCCTCTTTCCGTTTTGCTCGCTTTTCTTCTCCGTTTAATGCCCTTTCACTCTCTCCCCACCCTTCTCCTCTGTGTTCCTGTCTCTTCCACCTCCCTCTATCTCATTCCCACCTCCCTCTATCTCATTCCTCACCTCACTCTATCTCATTCATCACCTTCCTCTATCTCATTCCCACCTCCCTCTATCTCATTCCTCACCTCCTTCCTCTATCCCACTTATATCGATCCACGGCCATGGTAGAGGGGGAGAGGCGTGACGTCAGCACGAACGCAGCTCAACGCCGTGGGATGCGGGTGACGTCACCACGTGGAAGTACGTGGTGACGTCACTGCTTCACATGTGCACCTGCGCACAAGCCAGCTTGGCAGACAGGAATCCAGGCAGGCAGACAGCAATCCAGGCAGGAAGCCAGCCAGATTTTTTTCCCTTCTAATTGAGTATGAAGTATGATTACCCCTGAGCCGCTTGACTTGGCAGAGTCTTTATAAATGTACAAAATGTAAACACAGTGATAAGATTTGCTTCGACTACGTTGCACGTTTGCTGCTGCGTGCAGGTATGCCCCCATTGGAATCATGTTCCTGGTGGCCAGCAAGATTGTGGAGATGCGGAACGTGGTTCTGCTGATCACGAGCCTGGGCAAATACATCATGTGCTGCGTCGTGGGGCAGCTCATTCACGGCCTCATTGTGCTGCCAGCGATCTTCTTCGCGTTCACGAGGAGGAATCCGTACACGTTCCTGCTCGGTATCCTCACAGCCCTCACCACCGCCTTCGGCACCTCTTCAAGGCAACAAACTTTCCTAATGGTTAACATTTACAGAGCACCGTGTAAACACGCCTAGGAGAGCATTTGTGACAAGGATATGTTTTTTTGTACTGTATATTACTTAAATAGTTTTCCAACACGATCCTATATAATCTGTGGTTAAAATGGGAATTTCAAAGTCTGGTGTGAAAACTATTCACCCTGCAGTCCATGTCCCTTGCCATTTACTCCTTAAAAAAACAATTGATGCTTGAGCTTACACTGATTTGACAAATGGCAGTTTGGTGTACCAGCGTATTGCATTTACACCACCGTGCAAAATGCATTATCTAGCCCAGTGGTTCTCAGCCTTCGTTGGCTACTGTGTAACCCCCTCCCTTGTTGAGTTTAGTTTCAAACGAGTAAACCCCCTTGGCTGACACAAACGTGGTTCTGAGAAATAAATGTAATGAATCATGAACATCAATATTTTATTTCGATTTAAAGCTTTCGTGACTGCAATGATCCATCTTCTTTGGTTCTTTCGGTAAAGTCACGTAGAATGAGAATAAAATAATAAATTGATCAAATAAAATAACACAATAATATTCTCACGACGTTTCGGCCACAACACAAGCGGCCTTCATCAGGTGAAGGGAGCGAGACTGTCTGGTAGGACAGCGCTGGAGTGAGAGAGCCACGTTCAGACCACGGCTTTTAAGCTGTGTGAGCTGTGTGAGCTTAAAAGCCGTGATCTGAACGTGGCTCTCTCACTCCAGCGCTGTCCTACCAGACAGTCTCGCTCCCTTCACCTGATGAAGGCCGCTTGTGTTGTGGCCGAAACGTCGTGAGAATATTATTGTGTTATTTTATTTTATCAATTTATTATTTTATTCTCATTCTACGTGACTTTACCGAAAGAACCAAAGAAGATCAATATTTTAACCAATTGTCGATTGTGTGAGGTATAGAGCTAAGTAACTGCAAGCGAGTTAGACAAAATTACTATTCAACGGACGCTCTGCATGGGTGACATCATTTGTTCCCGCTCGCTGGTTACTCTTGTAAACCACATTGTTTACGTTGAGTTTAGAAAGGTCTTTTATACCCTTCTAGGTTACTGTATAGATTTACATTTTATCGTCGGCTATATATATTGGCAGATTCATACATGATTTTTCACCAATGACTCTCATGTGTGATATAATTGCACACATTTATAAATCATCTCATGTACCCTCTGGGACATTGCCATGCGTACCCCCAAGGGTCTGCGTACCCCCGGTTGAGAACCACTACTCTAATGGTTCCTCCGTAGTAAAATGGTGCCGTGTTTACCCTGCTTTGCGATTTCGTGCTGCATGCTTCATATAAAAGTTTTCAGATTTAACTTTACATCGCTATATTTCACGTTTTTTTGTTCCTACTGAAATCAGGATAATAAGATGAATGAATAATAATTTATTTTATGTAGTAGCATTCATGCAATTTTTCATCTCAAAACGTTTACCATCTCAAACCACATTAACAAAAAAATGGCAGCCCCAGGAAGCAGCAGGCCCAGACCCAGGAGACAGAAGTTTCTCACACAGACCCAGGAGACAGAAGTTTCTCACACAGACCCAGGAGACAGAAGTTTCTCACATAGACCCAGGGTTCAGCAGTTTCTCACACAGACCCAGGGTGCAGCAGTTTCTCACACAGACCCAGGGTTCAGCAGTTTCTCACACAGACCCAGGGTGCAGAAGTTTCTCACACAGACCCAGGGTGCAGCAGTTTCTCAGACAGACCCAGGGTGCAGAAGTTTCTCAGACAGACCCAGGATGCAGAAGTTTCTCAGACAGACCCAGGGTGATGAAGTTTCTCAGACAGACCCAGGGTTCAGCAGTTTCTCACACAGACCCAGGGTTCAGCAGTTTCTCACACAGACCCAGGGTTCAGCAGTTTCTCACACAGACCCAGGGTTCAGCAGTTTCTCAGACAGACCCAGGGTGATGAAGTTTCTCAGACAGACCCAGGGTGCAGCAGTTTCTCACACAGACCCAGGGTGCAGCAGTTACTCACACAGACCCAGGGTGCAGCAGTTTCTCACACAGACCCAGGGTTCAGCAGTTTCTCACACAGACCCAGGGTTCAGCAGTTACTCACACAGACCCAGGGTTCAGCAGTTTCTCACACAGACCCAGGGTGCAGCAGTTACTCACACAGACCCAGGGTGCAGCAGTTTCTCACACAGACCCAGGGTTCAGAAGTTTCTCAGACAGACCCAGGGTGATGAAGTTTATCAGACAGACCCAGGGTTCAGCAGTTTCTCACACAGACCCAGGGTGCAGCAGTTTCTCACACAGACACAGGGTGCATCAGTTACTCACACAGACACAGGGTGCAGCAGTTACACAGACCCAAGGTGCAGAAGTTTCTCACACAGACCCAGGGTGCAGCAGTTACTCACACAGACCCAGGGTGCAGCAGTTTCTCACACAGACCCAGGGTTCAGCAATTTCTCACACAGACCCAGGGTTCAGCAGTTTCTCAGACAGACCCAGGGTGCAGAATTTTCTCAGACGGACCCAGGGTGTAGAATTTTCTCAGACAGACCCAGGGTGCAGAAGTTTCTCACACAGACCCAGGGTGCAGCAGTTTCTCACACAGACCCAAGGTGCAGCAGTTTCTCACACAGACCCAGGGTGCAGCAGTTTCTCACACAGACCCAGGGTGCAGCAGTTTCTCAGACAGACCCAGGGTGCAGAAGTTTCTCACACAGACCCAGGGTGATGAAGTTTATCAGACAGACCCAGGGTTCAGCAGTTTCTCACACAGACCCAAGGTGCAGCAGTTTCTCACACAGACCCAGGGTGCAGAAGTTTCTCACACAGACCCAGGGTGCAGAAGTTTATCAGACAGACCCAGGGTGCAGAATTTTCTCAGACGGACCCAGGGTTCAGCAGTTTCTCAGACAGACACAGGGTGCAGCAGTTACTCACACAGACCCAAGGTGCAGAAGTTTCTCACACAGACCCAGGGTGCAGAAGTTTCTCAGACAGACCCAGGGTGCAGCAGTTTCTCACACAGACCCAGGGTTCAGCAGTTTCTCACACAGACCCAGGGTTCAGCAGTTTCTCAGACAGACCCAGGGTGCAGCAGGGGGCAGCAGCTTTGGCAAGGCCAGGCGCCACAGCAGCAGTGCATCACAGGCGGCCCTGGAAATCCATGACAACAAAACCAAAACCTATTAAACCCAGAACAACACAAAAAGCATTCAAAAACTCCAAAATAAATTCAAATCTGCAACAGGGACCAGAAAAAAAATATAAAACTATCTAAGAGACGGAGATAAAAAACAAACGGCAAGGAGCGCATGCGCTACAAATTAAGCGAGGGCGCCGGCGGCACCTTCTCATTTCAGGGTCCGCCGTTTCCCGACCATGTCCTTTGAAGCCCTTCTTGTTGAACCCTTTTGTGTCGCAGCTCGGCGACGCTGCCCCTCATGATGAAGTGCGTGGAGGAGAACAACGGCGTGGACAAGCGCATCAGCCGCTTCATCCTGCCGATCGGCGCCACCGTGAATATGGATGGCGCCGCTCTGTTCCAGTGTGTGGCCACCGTCTTCATCGCTCAGTTCAATGACATACATTTGGATGCGGGGCAGATCTTCACGATCCTGTGAGTTCACACGTGAGCTTGCCTGTGCGCTCTCTACGGTCGTGAGTTTATTATTATTTTTTTACGGCAACGGTTTGTGATGGAAAGTTATCGTAAATGTAAGTAGCGCGATGTTGCGGTTCACCAAACCCCAAAAGTGGAACAACTACTATAGGTATTAAGAGCAAAGTGATTCCCTGCTCGCGTGAGCATTGAGGCGTTGCACATCTCCTGTTCGCAGCCCTGAGCCAGTGGTGGAAATTCCACATTCCGGCCGGGTGTAGCTCATCGCTTGTGACACAGACACGATTTTATCAAAGTGATTCACGGCGACATTTGATGTTTTTCAAAAATTTGACTGCAGAAGTAATGGTAGAAATTCGATTGTCATCGTAAACAAAACAGATATCAGACATTTATGCTCTGATTACGTCGCCACACTCGGGTGCATCGCGTGACCTATATTTTATGCACAGAATATAAACTGATGACCTTTGTGGAAGAGTTAGTAGTGTCTTATGTGGATGACATTATAATTATGGCGTTGAGCTCTATCCACTACATTATTTATTGTCAGGTGCTAATTGTCATTGTTGATGAAGACTCCAGATCCTATTTTCAGATTCACAGTTGATGAGTACAGGGCCATAAGCCACAAACACTGAGTAGATTTATAAGAATAAATGTGTAAGACTTGGCAAAAGTGAAAATGGGACAGAATTCCAAAGTGGAGCAGTGCAGAGGCAATAAACAGATCGAGACGTTGTAGTGACATGCAGTGTGCTGAGCAAATGAGTGGGTGAGTAAGTGAGTGAGTGTGTTGTGGTGACTTGCAGTTGGTGAGTGAATGAGTGAGTGATAGAGTAAGTGAGTGAGTGTGTTGTGGTGACATGCAGTGTGGTGAGTGAATGAGTGAGTGGGTGAGTAAGTGAGTGAGTGTGTTGTGGTGACATGCAGTGTGGTGAGTGAATGAGTGAGTGATTGAGTAAGTGAGTGAGTGTGTTGTGGTGACATGCAGTGTGGTGAGTGAATGAGTGAGTGGGTGAGTAAGTGACTGTTTTGGTGACATGCAGTGTGGTGAGTGAATGAGTGGGTGAGTAAGTGTGTTGTGGTGACCTGCATTGTGATGAGTGAATGAGTAAATGAGTGAGTGAGCATGTTGTGGTGACCTGCATTGTGGTGGTTGAACAGTGTGGATGATACAAAACAGTGAGTCTGGTAGACCGAGTCCTTAACAAGCAGTGAGAGAAGTTCATTACGAGCGGTCGTCAAGGTCAAAAAAGGTCAACCTATAATTAGTAATATAATCAACGACAAAATGTATGTACTCATTAATAGTATAAATAAAATGTATAATTATTATTCTCAACATTAACATACATAAATATACTAACCCCCATCCACGGACCGGCTGAAGCGCATTGAACAATGACATTAAATTGCAATGTAAGAATGGACGACAAATTACAATTGTGTTATGGTGTCCGGTATATATTTGTACACGAGAGTGGGTTTTTAACGTGACTGTGTATTCATTTGTGCAGCGTTACGGCAACAGCATCGAGCGTGGGAGCAGCTGGGATCCCAGCAGGTGGCATCCTGACACTTGCCATCATCCTGGAGGCGGTCGGCGTCCCCACCAAAGACCTGTCTCTGGTCCTGGCGGTCGACTGGTTCGTGTGAGTGTCCCCTCATTTTGTGTGTTCCATTTCGATGTTGGAGCAGCCTGTCGGTATGAATTGCTTTGGGCGCCGCGGTGGCTAGGAGATGTCGACTACCTCGCCTGGTATGCAGGAGGTCGTGGGTCCGATCCTGACTCTGACGCCTGTTGGATATTTGAAGTTTGCCTGTCTCTTTTCCTGTGGTCGCGTGGATATTCCTCTTGGTCCTCCGGTTTTTCACTCCACATTTAAAATCAATGTGTAATGACAGTGCGGAGCGATAGCGGGACACTGTAGCTCTCCGGGACCGTGGTTACTAATGGACGAGCTATTAATGAGACGGGAGCCAATGGCGGGGAGGTGTTACTAATGGACGAGTTAATGAGAATTCATGAGACGGGATCCAATGGGGGGAGAAGGACGTTAGCGGCAGGGCCAGGTGCGGTGAGGAGGATTGAGGCTTAGGGTGTGGCCAGAGCAGGCGAGCATAAATAGCAGCGTGAGCGGAGGCTTGGGGCTGCTTGGTGTGGGGAACTGCCGTCGTCGTCACCTGGGATCGGGTCGTCTCCATCGTCTGCAAGTTGTCTGGAGCTTGGAAGCTTGATTATCTCCGAGTAGGGTTGTGTCTCATCACACGAGTGTATGGAGTCACTCGTGTTACGTGTTAAGTTGTTATTGGACTTTATTCTTAATAAATATATGGACTTTATCTATGTATATAAAAGGGAAATTTGTGAATATGTGTGTCTGTTCGAAATGTTTAGTATACTTCCCGACATGCAACAAACTTGAAATTTGGCATGTCGGTAGCTTCCGGACTGTACACAATGTAAAAGATATAAAAATAGACTTTTGTATTTGGGGGGGGGGGGGGGGGGGGGGGGCGCAATAATGCATGTAATATATTACACAGCAAGTGAGCGGTGATGTCACATCTGTGATGTCACCCGCATGCGTCAGCGTTACGCAGTGTGCCTGCTGACGCCACGCATCCCCCCCCCCAACCCTCCGCATAGGCCGTGTATTAATCCAAGACATGAATCCAAGTCCCGGGCAAGGCCGGGTAGTAAAGCTAGTTCTTAATAAATCTACAGAAGACAAGACAGCGTCCCTGAGAGTTACATTACAAGTATATGTTTAGAGTATTTGGCTGCTATAAATTTCCACACGATAAGCCACTTCGTTGAGCTATCATTTGTGGCCAGGTCGCTTCTGAAAAAGAGCTATATAGCTCAGTGAGCCTTAACTGGTAAAATAAATCAATTGTTTACAGTTACAAATTTTTAAAATAGTTTATACTCAGGGTGCACAGTTTGGGTATGACCTAACCCGAGCAAGTAGCAGGTCAAAGTCAGATCAGACCTGATACTCGCTCGGATTATTGTGATCAGAATTGTAATGAGTACCTAATAAGCAATTACACTCTCGTGTAATACTTAATGAGCTACAGGGTGGCTCAGTGAGCTGGATGCTTTTGCTCGTGATTGGAATGTTTGGATTTGAAACACAGCTGAGATGCCCTTGCAAATGAGATGTTCCATCTCAAGGGATTATCCAGGTGAAATTATTTCATAAACATAAATTGTGATGGGAGAGACAGGTATAGAGAATGGAGGAGGGTAGGTTGCCATATTTGCATATACTTTTAATTAACTTACTACGGCTTATGGTCGATTCTTCTTCTGGGATTGAGTTACACCAAGGTAGACCTGATTTCATAAGTGGGCCAGGCGTCTTTCTGTGTGGACTTTGTGTGTTCTCCCCTTGTTCTGAATTGGTTTCCTGCCACAGCTAATAAAACATACAACATAACCGGCGTTGCTTAAACATCGCAATTATTGACAATCACTGGCAAGTTACCCATTCGGGAATACATAGTCGCAACCATTGCCCTCCCCACTGTGAACCTGTGCAGGACCCTCCTGAAAAAATAATGCCGATTAATAATAATCATGATGATGATGAGCTTGCACTTTGCGTTTCCATTGCCAGGGACCGCACCTGCACCGTGCTCAATGTTGAAGGCGATGCCATCGGCGCTGGGATTCTGCATTACACCAACACGGAGCGAGAGGAGGCGGTCGCGCCGGCCGCGGAGGAACTCGCCGAAATCAAGATGGAAACGCCGATAAACGGGCGCTCAGGCAGTGAGGCATCGCCGCTGATCCGGCACAACCACGTCGTGTCTCTCACCCCCACGTCGCCCGCCCAGGAGTCTGCGCTCTGAGTCGAACGCGAGGACATTGGAGATACACCTTACTGCAGTCCCATGCCCAAAGGCAGGTGATGGTAAATCTGTGTTAGTACTCCACATTCAGTGGGTCACCATATTATGATAACTTACAGCACTGATTCGTTTTTATAATTCTTAAATATAAAAAAAAAATACATTGAGGAATTGATTATATTTGTAACCTGGGTTAATGCAAGCACACCAGCAGCTATTGTACGTAGTTATCCTTGCACACTATGATTCTCCCGATTCATAGTTTATTCTGGGTTAGATCATGTAGGTGTGATGTCTGAAATAGTTTGTGGAGGTGTGATGTCTTGGTTAGATTGTATAACGTCTGGGTTAGATCGTGGAGGTGTAATGTCCACCGTGAATCAAGCTGTCAAGTTGGACACATGTGCCCGTTGGTTTTGTTCTTCAGCAACCGGTTACGTTGAAAAGCGAGCAACATTTAACGATTTTTCGCGTGACATTTCAACGGCGAGTACAAACCACCATCATCAGGCGATAGCAAGAGATCATATCGGAGTGAATGCACTTCCTGATCTGGCTCCTGGAGTAGGTGCCATGCCACCATCAGATCAACGATGCAGGAGAACTGGATTTGATCAATAGAATTGAATGCAGATTAACCGGTTGTAAGTGACAGGGTTAAATAGTGTAACAAGGTGAAGCTGATTCATTGTTGGTGAAAATATCAATCGGTTATATTGAAGTGTGTTGTATTAGTCATGATTGATATTAGTTACATTAAGCTTCATTGTTTACAAATCCCCTAGGGTTATATCGTAAGGTGTAATTTATCCGTCTTTCTGGTGATTTTTTTGTGATTGGAATATGCAGGTAAGGTGAATTTAAGAGATTATTAGTTTTTTACATTCTTGTAATTATGATGTTTTATTTTAACTTAAAAAGGCAGAGTTAATTGATGTTATGAATATATTTAAGCATTATCTTCATAGGAATACTTAATTTAGCATCTTAATGAAAATGTGTTCTTAATTCGTTTCAGGGCAGCGCTTGGTCTATAGCAAGTCACCCTGTTCATGTTGTTTTGCCTTTTATCAATTTAATTTCCCCAATTAATGTTTGCCAATAATAATAATACATTTTACACTAAACTTTAATCTCACCAGCGAAAATTGTGTGCCCTTCCTGACATGCGTGTTCAACCGCAGACATCTGCGTCTGTGAATATTTAATAATTGATGTTCTATGGTTCTTTCGGTAAAGTCACGTAGATAGAAGGAAAAATAATAACAATAAAATAAAAAATGGGTTCTCCCTTATCTCCGGTTGTGGCCAACATTTTCATGGAAAAATTTGAGACGGACGCCATCCAGAGGTACATGGATGACATGTTTGTAATCTGGCCATATGGCCGACCGGCTCTGGAACAATTTCTCAACCACATCAATTCCATACACCCAGCCATCAAATTCACCATGGAGGTAGAAAAGGATGTCATGCTACCCTTCTTGGATGTCTTAATAAAAAAGAGACCAGATGGCTCAATGAGCCACTCTGTCTACAGGAAAGTAACCCACACTGACGCCTACCTAAAACCTGATTCCCACCACCATCCATCCCAGAAGAATTCCCTCATCAAAACGCTACACCATAGAGCTCAATGTATCTCCGACCATGAACACCTGACCAGTGAACTCAAACACGTTCACCGGGCTCTCAAGGCGAATGGATATTCTGACTACACAATCCGCAAAGCCATCACCCCAACCGTGAGGAAGGAGCCATCTGAAGATCCAATCAAAACGATCACCTTACATAGCAGGGATAACCAAAAATATTTCCAAAATCTTGAACAAACACAAGATCCAGGTCCGATTTAACACAATGCATAAAATCCGTGACATGATCCCATCTTGGATGGACAAGATTCCTGACATGCAATATCCCGGCGGCTACAAACTAAGCTGTATCTGCGGCAACAGTTACATAGGGGAAATCAAACGACATGTCTCAGACCATATTCGTGAACATAAGGCAGATCTGAAACACAGCAGGACCAATACTTCGTGAACATAAGGCAGATCTGAAACACAGCAGGACCAATACTTCTGCCGTGGCTGATCATTACTTTAATGCGGCTGGCTCACGTGAAATTGATTTCTCTAAGACGATGGTACTTTGCTAGCTGACTGGCTATCAACAAATATTTGTTCACGAAGCCATCTATATATACAGACACAGACACAATTTCAACCGAGACGACGGTTTTAAACTCAGCAATCATTGGAAAGATGTCTTCAACCACTTTGGGTCATGACTTGATTTGTGTTTTCTTGTCCACCTCCACCGTCAGCAGTGAGTGTGTGGAGCGAGGTGCAATGCTTTGATTGGTGTTGACCTACTGCCGGTGTCGGAGCCCTCTCCTACATTAACATTAGCTGCCCTGCCCATCTCTAAACCTTTATAAACAGCTTGCCCTCAGAGGCTAACGTCCCTGTTGCTGATGACGACCACTTGCGTTGCGATCGAAACGTCGTGATATGTTTTTAATTCACTTTATTTTTATAATTTTATTGTTATTCTTTTTCTTCTAGCTACAATACATGACTTTACCGAAAGAACCATAGAATATGAATTCCTGCAGTCACGAAAGTTTTAAGTAAAAATATTTGATGTTCTTTAATTCGCGTACTAATTTTACGACCTTTTCGACCAATGTAGCATTTGCCGCAACATACACACAGGCTGGTGGACACCTTCTTATCGGCTAAAAATTATATGTAATGGATTACGTAGTATGGTGAAAGTGGCGTAGTGTTGTGTAGTTGTGTGGTGTTGTGTAGTAGTGGTGCAGTGTATCCGCACAGTATAGCAGGAGTTTTGTGTAGTGTAGCGGTGTAGTGGTGCAGTGTAGTGGTGGAGTGCAGTGGTGCAGTGTCATGTAGAGGTGCAGTGCAGTGGTGCAATGCATTGGCGGAGTGCAGGGTAAAAGTGCAGTGCCATGTTGTGCACCGTATCTTGCAGCATCAACAGTGACTGGTGACAACAGTAGCAGACAAAAACTACATTCACATCCATAATCATCATCATTATCATCTATATCAATGTTTTAGGTATAGCGCAGAGCTTCTGACAGTGCCCACATTTCATCTGCATACTCAAGCTGTTGCCTGTGGGAAATTTCAGACAGCATGATGAGTGTAGCACCTTCTTCTATCTCGGTCGCAGATCTCTGCGATCGAGATAAACGTGTGGTGCTCTGATCTGCCGTGTTTGTTGGTAGCAACGTGCATGCATCACAGGCTCCCACCAGGACTGTGCCCTCTCGAAAGACAAAGACCCCCCCGTGTAGCCTTAACAGACTAGTGGGGCAAGTGCTGTTAGCGTGCACCTGTGAAGGCCGGCACGGCACACGCGGGGTGGGTGACCAGTATCACGCCCGACCAACTTTGTCTGCCCAGTAGCGATGTTTACAAATCGCACTCGGTTCGAATTTGAGGCTAAGTCGACCTAGTGGAGGTCCAGGACCGGTTCAGATATTCGTCACCGGTGTTGGCCGTGAGCGGGAATCGAACTCGGATCGTAGCACATGGCGCTAACCGCTACATCGCTGCTCCCCACTGTGCCCTCTCCCCCTGACTCTACACAGACATCCGCAGACCCCACGGATAATAGGCTGTGTCTGTCCCCGTCATGACCAGTTCTTTCTGACGTCAGTGACATTGTAAATTAAACAGTAGAATGAAGCAGTGCTGGTGGCGGTCTTTGCAGTTGTTTTATTTGAACCAATGGATAAAAGCAAAAGGAGTCGAGCAAGTGATGGTCGCAAATGAGTGGAGTTTCACTCTTCTAGATACCGAATGCGCATCACTCAATATCTTTTTTATTTAATCCATTCATATGGAGCCAGTGCACCAAGTAAGACTCCACATGTCACTTGTTTCTAGATGTCTCCATGTTTGAGTATCTTGCATCTGTGTATGGAAATTATATCTTTCTCTGTGTTTGCCTGAGAGTGTGTCTGTGTATTGATGTATGTGTGCGTGTGTCTTTTATACGTTGGCCTTCATAGGTGCTTGAAAACAGCACTTTCCACAACAGTCTGTTGAGCCTATTCGTGGGATGTTTTTCACTATCTGTTTCTGTTTCTCCATGTTTCTCACTTTCGCTGATGTTTTCCCTATATCTACCTTGTTGCGTAACTCTGTCTCATTGTATTTCTCCCTCTTTTTTGCGAATGGCTCCATTTCTAGTATCTCACTCTGCCACTGCTTGTTTTTCTGTGCTACTGTGGTTTGCAATTCTGTATTTGCATATGTCTCTCGGTTTCTTCCTAACTTCTGCCACGGTGGCGAGATGTTATCTCCCTCGCCTGGTATGCAGGAGTTTGTAGGTTCGATCTCGACCCTGATGTCTGTATATTTGGAGTTTGCATGTTCTCCCTGTGGTGGCGTGGATTTTTCTCCGGGTCCTCCAGTTTTTCCCTCCGCATTTAGAAGCTTGCGCTTAAAGTATTTGGCTGCAATACATTTCCACGTGATAAGCCACTTCATTGAGCTATCATTTGTGGCCAGGTCGCTTCTGAAAAAGAGCTACAGTATAAAGCTCAGTCGGCCTTACCTGATCAAATAAAAAATGTGTTTAGTTTTAGCTTATGTGTCTATCTTCATGTCTATCTCCTGTGTTTCTAAATCTGAGATGTTTCACGACCAAACACAAGTGTTCCACATAAATACACAATTGTGCCATTTTTTAAAGGCTCAAAGCAACCTAATTCATTTTATGAAAGGAAGCACAAACAATCTATTAATCAGATTTTGTTATTTTGTAGTCACCGAATATGAGATCGCATTTCTTTAAAATCTGAGACGGATTAATTTTAAACTGGTAAATTTGACCAAAACACTACACACACACGCAGCGTCTTGGACACATATGCACATGTATATAGTTTGCGCTGAAAATGTTAACAAGCACAAATCCGAACACCACAAGCCTGTACAAGCACCGCCATCTAATCCCATCTTAAAGAGAGGATAGTCGTCTTTAAAATATGGAAATTCCCCAACATTGATCCAAGCAAAGCATGACTCTGCTAACGAGACACTGCACGTCGAAACCGCTCCAGAGTTTGCTGTGCTGAATCAATGTTGCTGAAATTGTGCACTTTCAGAAGGCCGTTTCGCCGATGGGCAGTTAAAGAATTACTTTTCAGTTTACGTGTAAAGAAAGACATGTGAATGGGACAATTTGTCTGCTTATATCTTTTGATTTTAAATGAGTTGACTGCTATTCATAAAAGGTCTTTTGGGTTAGATCGCATAAATATAAATGTGTTTCATCTTTAGACCTCCTTTGCCAGTACCAAAATGTAATAATCGGGTTTTTCCCCTTTTTTCTGGCAACAAAACTGAAACCTTTTTACAAGGATTCATGTCTGCATTAACCACAATACCTGCAGTCAAAATGCACACAAAAAACATACTATGATAATATATACATTGTCCTTGAAACTGATTGGTCCACACCAAGGGACGTCCCTTGGTGTGGACCAATCAGTTGACTGCAGGTATTGTGGTTAATGTAGACATGAATCCTTGTAAAAAGGTTTCAGTTTTGTTGCCAGAAAAAAGGGGAAAACCCCTATTATTATAAATGTGTTATTAAACTCGCCACCACCCGACACAGCCAATTAGGAAGGTTTGTCACGTAAACAAAACATGCCAATTAGTTACTAGTTAAGCACACCGGTTGTGTGTTGGAGGGTAAATCCACAAGATTTACAATTCGAGTACCGTGACGTTTTGTCGATAGTCACAACCAGCCTTGTCAGGCGACAGCCGGTGTGCTGAACTAATAACTAATTGGCATCTTTTGTTTACGTGACAAACCTTACTAATGGCTGTGTGGTGGCGGGTTTAACGACACATTTATATTTAAGCGATCTGACCCAAAAAACAACTTTTATGATATTATTAGTCGTGAAAGCCTACGTGTTAGATTGGCTGCTTTTATTGTCAGAACACTGAGGTTTTTGAACAGCCCTTTACAACCTAATGATTAATCAAGCAAGAAATTAAAGTTGAGTATTTAAACGTGCATTTACCAACAATTCAATATGCAGCCTCAGTAACGCGAGGTGCACAAATTCCAACCTCGGGTTATGCTGAGTAGTGAAATGCCAGATTTTTTTTTTACTGAGGGCTGCTTGTTCAGTGGAACAGTCAAACATAAATATTCTCAGGATATGTACAGTGAGTTCTATTACAGAATTACAGACAGCCAGCTTTACCGAAAAATAATATATTTATGCCAGACAAGAGCACATGTGTAGTCACTTTACAAGGGATGCCATAATGCGTCGACAGGGTTGTAACACGGTAATAATAACAAAGGTAAACGAGTTTAAGCCTAAACATGTGATTGTTGTAGCAAGTTAAAATCCTAATTTGTTTAAATGCTTCTTAGAAGTATTTTCACGGTATCAAATTAAGTCACCAAGACAAAGTATGCATGTGAGCCAAGAATATGGAATTGAATGTATGCGAT